CTTAGTTACAAAGGTGGAACCCTTAGATACAGGGGGTGACACACACACACACACGCCCGCGCGCACAATGCTGTGTTCCAGGGGAATTCCCGAGACTTGCCTCAGCGTCTTCAGCAGCAAACTGTTGAAACTAAGCATCCTATCAGTCCTATCTCACCAGGGACATGGTTTTTTTTCCACCAAGGGAGAGCAAAGCAAACGATCTTTTCCATGAATATAGATGTTGCAGTTCAAATCAATTGGATTTCTCTGAAAAGGGAGGGAATACTCCGCAGTGGACAGCTTTGAGGTCCCCCAGTTCCGAGGTCCTGTCCGGCCATCAAGCAAGGGTGCGCCCTCTCAGGACTGGGCGAGTCGGATGCGGATCTCACCGGGGTGAGGTTTCGGGAAACATGTCGCGGCCACGAGCAGGGTGTCCTTCTCGATCTGAGAGATCAACGGTTTTTTTGTTGTCGGATGGATAGGTGACGATTCTGACATGTTTGTGGCTAGGGGGTCCTTGCGGCTTCAATCTTTACGTATAATTTCAGTGGGTTGAATCATAGTTAGACCTTTGGTACTGCTTCGGCTCAGATCTTCAAAGAGGACTTCAAAAGCAGTGGACCGAATCCCATGAACATCCACCTTTCTCGCCGGTTTTGCAAACAAAGTGTTCGAACTTTGGGGCCAGATGCTCCCAGGTGTCAGATTTGATAGCATGTCCCAGAAGATGATCCGCGAGATGGGGTCCGTGGTCGACCACGGTTGGTCTTTCAACGTCCCCGATGATTCAACCAGCAACAAATGCTGGCACAAAACATTTGTGCCATGTGGCACAAACGTTGCTCGAGAACATGTGCACTTCGAGAGGCTGGTTCTATGTGCTTTTCTTCGGATGGAGGGTCAACTGCAGTTGGCCCGGAGAACTTCCAAACCATCTGCGGTTCCCGGATCAGCTCGGCAGGAGAGCGACGCAAGGTCCAGGACTCAAGCTGAAGAACTCATCGCCGGGGTTTACTTCCTCGATGCAGAACTCTCCCCTTACCGTCCCAATAGGAATGCAAGTAGCTCCTGGCACCTACATCAAAGCAAATTCTTGTGACAGCGTCCACCTCGGGTGGAGTGGACTCCACGGATGGTTGAACCACATGCAACACAATATTGGACTATATATATATAAGTAGTTATTATAGTGGTCCCCAAATAGATAGAAACAATTTCCAATACATGTTGAGCGGGGATCTACTTTTCTATCTATTTGGGGTTCTATATGCTCTAAATCTGTTCTAGGGATCTCCTCCATCGAAGCGGAATTCGATGGCTGCTTTGATGATCCATGACGATTTCTATGTCCGTTTGGTTATAGATGCAACCCAGTCTGACTTTCCATGCAACAAAGGAAATCCTTTGCTCGCCGCAACAGTTCGATGTTGAACAGCCGACTCACATCGATCCGCGACAAGGACTTTGGGGTTACAACCAGACAAGCCACGGTTGAGTGTTCGACCCTTACACAAGGAGAATGGCAAATGCTGACTAGCCCCAGTGGCTAAATCAAGAAATCCACTGCAAGCAGAAAGAAGAGGACTCTCATTGACTCCTTGATGTTGAACAGGCATCAAAATCTCAAGAAAAGATAGTCCTGCCAGGGCCACCGTCAATGCTGCCAATGCTGTTCATTGATATTAGTTCTCAGAATATCTCAGAATGAAAGAACTCAGAAAAAGCAACGCATGTCAGACACATCCGAACTGCTTACGCTTGATGTGTTCGAACCGGTCACAGGGCCATTTGCCATGTCAATGTCACTTGCTTCGGTCTTCCTGGGCCATTTGCAACACAACTCGGACCGCCGGTCCGAGGCCACCATGGAACCGGTCCACGGTGCCGAAACCGTGGTCCAGTGAGGGCTTTAAGGCACCGCGGCACGCTCGACCGGTCCACGGGGCCTTGTTCCAACGAATTCAGAAGCGATTTTACGGTGTTTGTGAAAAAGATCATGAAGCATTGCCCGGTGGTGTTTTGGGCTTTTCGCCTGCCCGGGGTGTTTGCCGATGTTCCGCCCCGATGGTGCCGGTGAGTTCGGAGGGTTGCTCACGACTTCTGCCAAGTGAAGTAAGCCCATGTGCCCATCAAGAGATGATACTCTATATACATTTGATAGAGTTGCAGGGCCCCAGGTACTACTGTGAAATCAAAGCATTTCAACACACGCAAAGAAAGAGCTCCCAAACCTCGCAAAGAGGACCATCAAGGATGCGATGAGATGGTATGTGTTCAAGTCGATGAAGAGTGTAGTGTAGGTGCTTCAGTTCTGATGTCTCTCTATACCAGCATTCTCATGCTAGGAGCAAGGACGCTACTAGTAGCTCCTGGCATTACTACTAGTAACAATAAGCTACTAGTAACAAGGGCATTACTACTAGGAGCAAGTAGCTACTATTACTACTAGGAGCAAATAGTTCCGATGTCTCTCTATAACTAGTAGTAATGCCCTTGTTACTAGTAGTATTGCCCTTGTTGCTAGCAGCTTCTTGTTCCTAGTAGTAATGCCAGGAGCTACTAGAAGCATTATAGCTAGCATTCACATTAATGGTTAGGCACCACTACCAGCAAAAGGCCCAACGATCGGGACCTTTTGGCACCTCTGACATGCCCAACGATCGGCGAGTAGACGATCAAATCACCTGATTTTGACCTGTTTGAAGTCATCAACAACTCAGAAATCGAGAGCCTTTTGGGAAATCTAGAGGTTGACACGCTGCAAGCTGCTCGTGCTCCACCGAGGTCGCTAGCACTCGTGGAGAGATGTAGCTGATAACGTGAGGTTTTAGTTGCAGAAAACAGGGCAGGAGCCCCTAGTAGCGTCCTTGCTCCTAGTAGCGATGCCCTTTGCTACTAGTAGCTTTTTGTTCCTAGTAGCGATGCCAGGGCCCCGCTCATAGCGTCCTTGCTCGCTCCGTTCGTAGCTCCGTCGTTGAAAGCTCCGTTCGTAGCTCCGTCACCGCTCTTTGCAGGTGAATCATACCCGATGGTCGGCGTGGGCCTTGCAGGAAGATCGGAGGCGGAAGCGACGTGGATTGGCCGCGTAGCCAGGACGCGCCCGTCGTGGTTCTTCTGTGATCAATGGGGAAGGCGGTAGGTGGATTTTTACATAACAAAGCCTCAAAACATGTGGGGAAGTTGCGTTGTTTCATGTGTTATTGTTATCCTGTCGCCAACAGCCGAGGCCCAAAGGTGTGTTTCGTTTTTGGCGATGCCTCGTTGTGGGTGTGGCCGTGGCCCAGCACAAACTAGTAACTAGCCTCGAACACTGCCTCTATACATCCAGTTGGATTTAGGTGGATTGGGTCCTGTTGCTGTTTGGTCTAGCTGCTATAGCTACTGCAATGGGTTTTGTGATGTATTATAGTATGTGATATGTGTATATATATATTATGCAAGGGTTTTGCATTTGCACATGTGTTACAAAGATGTGGTACGCGCGACGCATGTCGGATTCTAAGCGGAAAGGGTATGTCAATGTGTCGTGTGTTGCGCTCCGTTGCTTGATTAATCCATTTGTTCCCTGGCTTCTGCTCCAAGCACGGTCAACAATTGTACGGGTGGACGAGCATGCCAGTTGCTGGATATTGATGGAAAACTTGGGGAGGGGTAAAATGCCAAGCATACTGACTGACTTTTCTTCCCATTCTCGGTCCAACGGGCAAAGATGCTAATTTGATTAATCTATTTATACCTATACTACAGTGCACCCCGCGAACGAACGGACTCTTGGTTTGTGGTTGAGGCAAGCCAGCAAACACCGTAGCTCAAGTATGCCCAAGCCCAGTTTCCTTAGTTCAAGCTGCTTATTTTGTTTGTAGACCTGTGGCGCTGGTGACCGTCGCTGATCGAAGTCGATCGAAGCCTTGGCAGGTCCCTAGAGGCACAGGCCAGCGATTTGTTTCGTGGGCTGAGTATTAGCAAGGACACTACTAGGTGGAGGCCCATCGCAAGTAGGTTGGAGGCCATCGCTACTAGGAGCAAGGACGCTACTATTAGCTCCTAATTAACATTATTAGTATATAATTGAATTGGCCGTTGTGCTTCTTCCAAGTGGCCGGATGGGATGTGTGTTGCGCTGACGCCATGTTATCTTAATGTGAGATGGCGGTCGGGTTTCTGACCTGTGTCATCTCCCCTTGCGGGACTTTTTCTGGCGTTCTTGTGAAATGTGCCCATCTACCTGGCAAAAGTTGTTCCTTTGCTTGAAGACCCTTTTAGTGGCTGTGGCCTAAAACCCCATCAGTCACTCTTTGTGAGGTCTCCACATGTCCATGTTTTCCATGTGAATAGGCAGTCGCTTCCTCGAAAAGCATGTGTCGTTGCTGCACAGGTGGGGACATCCCAAAGACGCCTAGCCTAAAGGTCATGTAGACTGTTGCATATACTGCAATGCAGGATGTTCATAAAAACTCCCCACAATACGAGGTTCTACAATCCAAATGGGGGTCGGTTTTCATCAACTGAGTCGTCTTAATCAACTGAGTCTACATGCCCTAGGGCTCCAAGATACCCTCAGAAGGTGGTTAGACCCCCCTAAACCCGCCTGGTTGGAGCCCTAGAGATGAAGTTCATCAATCCGCCGGAGGCACGGGATCGCCGGGTCCAAGTCATGTGCAACGAGCTCTCCCGCTACCTCCACGAACGGCGAGCGGGAAGAACGGAAACCGGAGAAGGACGACATCCGATCAGACCAAAGAGACATGGAAGAGACCAATTGAGGGAAACTGTGGAACAGGTGCGAAGAGGATTTTCCATGATTGTCAGACCAAACCATATTTTTGTTCACCTGGAACGCATCTTTTTGGATTGCTTTCTCGTGGGGCGGCCGGAGGGCTTCCCTGGAGCTGGGGCGCTCGGTTTCGGGCGGCCGTGGGCGCACAGGCCAGGAGCTGCCAGTAGCGTCCTTGCTCCTAGCAATCCCCTCACCCTATGAAAAAAAACACGGCCCTTCTATTAACAAAAACTCGAGTGCATTTTTTTAAAATAGGGGGTCCCTGAAATCGGGGTTGCCCAAAATAGGGTCAGTGGGAGGATCCTTTTGAATAATTATTGATTACATAACATATGAAATGCAGATTTCCTGGCAGGCGCAGCGCTTTGTGCAGCTTGAAATGCTGATTTGTGCAGACACCTGGGAAGAGCTGAGCTTCAAGACCGAAAAGTCACCCAGGATTTTGTTTGTATAAAATCTTCTAACTCGTATCAAAAATTGAAAACACCTCCAGATCGAAGGGTCTTCCTTCCTTTTCCCTTGACAAACACCTTTATTAACATAAGACTAACAACTAAAGCTAAAGCTTTTGAAAGGTGATGTCGCTGTGCCATGCCGTTTTGCGCGGCCTCGGTGGCAAGTGTGTTTGCATGACTCCGTGCCATTGGAGGAAGGAAAACCTGCTGGTGTAAACGCGGCGTGTCATGGTGGACAAACAGGGTGGACAGAGGTGGGCAGTTAGGGTTGCTTTTGGAGCCTAATTTTTGTACTGAAAAAAAGCTACACAAAAAATCGACCATGTTGGTAGTTTAGTAGCGGCTTGGATTGGCGGTAGTTTAAACACAAGTTTAAACATGTTTAAACAGTACTTATAACTATTATACAATTGGGGAGCGGCTTTTAATAGGTACTCGGGATTAGCGATGCCCTTTGCTCCTAGTAGCGTCACTGTTCCAAGCAGTAAGGCCAGGAGCCACTAGTAGCGTCCTACCAACATAAGTAGATCACATACTTACCTGTAACGAGCAAAGCACTACTTTTGAGCAAGGCCTTTACTTTACTAATCTTTACTAACCATCATCATCCACTGTTTGTGGTCGTAGACCCAACATATAGTATAAGTGGACAATGGATGAACATGATCCCTTGGTCGACTACTTTCCTCGAGCCGTACTTACAGGATATTGGTCCACTTTCATATTATGAGAGTCGGAGTCGGAGTGTATTATGAGAAACCGCACGGTTTTCTGAACTGAATGTTTATGAAGTGTTTGTCGATTCCGAGGGACCTATATTACTGAGCCGTAGGTGAAGCTTTGCCTATGCGTGAACCATAGGCATGCCACGCTCACCACTGCCCATGTCTCACATGTCTCTCATGCACCCCTTATATAGACAGACATCCTGTCATAGATAGAACTTCGTAGATCCCAATCCAAATGTTGGAAACCGTGCCACGGTCATCAATTTGGGGATCACTAGAAACTGCCAGATGTCCCTCCAAGGAGTTCATTTTGCCCCTAAACGCTGGCCGCCAGGCCCACGTCGGGCAGCGATGGTGGGGTGTCCCGGTGACGGCGGGTCAGGGACGGACTCACCTTACCTAGACCATCTTGCTTGGGTGTCTAGGGTTGTCTATTGGGCACTCACTCCCTGGTCCTCGAACGTTTTTGGAGTTTGCACTCAGTATGTATCCGTGGAGAAACCTCCCGCGGGAGTTCGGATTAGGCTTCTCCGCCTCGCTCCAAAAGCACTGAAACCGGCACTGTTCGGTTCAGCTCCAGTGGGATGTTCTCCAGTTGTGGTCCATTTTCCGTGCCGGGACTCCAAAACACCAGCTGCGGAAAACCAGGCCGGTGGCACCCGGTCTCAACGGCCTGCATGGGACGGTGTTAACTTGGGGCTCCGGGTGCCATGACCCACATGATCGATGGGAGCTGCAAAGGAGACCAACAGCGAAAGCGGAAAGCGGTCTCGCTTCGGACCGTTGAAGGTCTCGCTTCGGAACGTCGGACGGTTCCGTCTCTTCCGGAGACTCTTCCGGAGACGATGCTCCGTGCCTTCGAACATGGTGTGAAGGTGGTGTGAAGGACGGTGCCGTCGAGATTGAAAAGGGTGTGCTCTCTCACCAGGTTTGTTTCTGTATCAGTCTAACTTAAAACATGTCATGAATTCATGAACAACCAGCACTCATTTGTTGATATTTGTTGCTTTCTCTTCGACCAAAGGGGACGTCTCATTCCGAGGTGGAGCCTTGTCCCGGCGAAGTCCTTGACTGAGAAGCTGTTTTCAGGTCCAAGAAACGGGGATGAGGAGGCGAGCCTCAAGGTATCGGCAGGGATTTGCTTTACCATGAGTTCAAGCATGAGATGGCCAGCACTAAGCCAAACAATCGATGGTTGGACTGTGAAAGATGGTTTAATTTGCGAAGGCGCATCATCGATTGTGGAGAACAAGCTTACAGTTTCAAGGTACTCGATATTGGTTTTAAACAAACTCTTTGCATGCCGAGACTCGCATAGGATACACTTGCAAATGTCGAGACTCCCAGGTTCAGATGGGGTTCCCCATCCCATTCTCAACAAGAACGAACCGAAGAAGTCAACAAAGAGAGGGCAAACGAAGAGAGTGGCATTCAGAAACCAAGAAATTATTACGAACATATTTTCAGAGGACACACACAGTGCTTTACAGCAGAAAGCCAGAAAGCTCTTGTAAAGCGGCAAATCGTGTTTAAAAGAAACCCAATGACATGTTCTGTTCTGAAGACAAAAGCTCACCCAGCCCCAAAGAACTTTTAGTTTGAGCTTCAGTGGGGACCAATCAACAATTTGTTTCTGATACCATGAATGAATGAAAAACAGTGATGCTGCTATTCCAACTGCCTTGGGATTTTGGGATTTTTTAGTCCCCAGCCCCGGTGTTTACAGACGGTCTAGCAGCTGCTCGTAGGAGGTTCAGGGACCCCTGGCATGGCCGTGTTTTTCCCAGTCACGGCTGTGGCATGTTCCGGGGGAGGACAATGCCCTGAACAGCGGGGCCGGATGGATGCGCGAGTTGCGCAGTTTCTGCGGCAAGAAGAAGTGAACTGACAAGCAGCCGAACTTGGCCTATGGGTGCTATGGGTGAAGGGAAACTCACAATGAGCAAGGACAGGAAGTCGAGCAGGGAGGCCACGCTACGGGTCTTGCAGAAGATCAAAACTCTTTTTCCATGTTCTCCGTGGTCCCGCCAGTGCACCTGGAAAATTCAGGAAATGGTTTTGTTGATGCAAACCACCATTCGGTTGAATCAGACTCTTCAGTTAAAAGAGATCGAAGGCTTTTCAGGTTGTGAAAGCCCACGAAAGCTGGAAAAAAAAACAAAGCTGCACATTTGACACATTTGTCCACTCCTTGATTATGTTGGATGCATTTTTGTTGATCGTCTTCAACAAGGCATAGAAGCACACGACATGAATTTTCCACCATTTACGTTGCCGCTCCGGCCCCGTCCCATTTGTACAGGCGAATCAACAAGAGGACGCGCCAAGCATGCCAAGCATGGGCGTGTTGCCAGATGTTGGGTTCACAAAAGGTCGACGTGGTCAGCCAGGGGAAGGAACAGAGATTGATCGATCCTTGTGCTTCTGGATCCTCTACCCACGTTGCGGCAACAACATGCAACAACTGCCATCCCTCAAACATGACGTTTGCCTCCATGTGTCGAAATATGTTGTTGTTTTTTCCTTTTCATGTGCGTCCAATCAATCTACAAGTTTCATTTGCTTGTCCAGACCCCCTCCGGCGATTCACCGGTCCTTGACACCCTCCTCAGAGCGGGCTCGGGGACGACGACTCGGGGATGTGAAAGTGAGCATCCCGCGGAGACCGCGCCCGAGACGGCCGGGTCCGGTGAAACCAATGGCCGACGACGAGGAGGAGGACGTTCAATTGGAAGCTTGAAGCAACGTCAATGACGTCACTCTTGATTCGTCGTATTTTTGTTGGGGGGTTGGTTTCAGTGGGTTGTAGTTAGACCTTGTTAGACCCCCCAAACCCCAACCACCTGACCGGGCCGGCTTAGGATTGCTCCTTGAGCTATGTCATCAGCTGCAAATGCTTGCCACTGGTGCAGGGCTGTTTGGCCAACTCTTTCTGGCCGGGTGTGTTGGGCTGAAGTCCTTGCATGAGTAGAGTATGAGTAGACCATGGGCTGGTAGGGACCAGATGCTACGTTGGCTGAAGTGTTGGCACCCGAGTTGACCCGCTCCGTGGTCCCTTTGCCACTCATGAAGGACTTCCATCCCAGGTTTCTTCTGAGATGTTCATGCGGAAAAACCTTAGTTGATATATTCTTACGTTGACCTCTGAAACCACTGAACTGATGGGTCAGTCCTCTTGATCCATCTCGATCCTTTTGAAACAGCAGAGCTGTTCCACCGCTCCCACCATGGGCACTTCAGCCACAGTCTTCGGTCACTCACTCTAATATAGCGCCAGCCCTTCGACCCCGATGCCTTCGACCTGCCCGCAGGTCGGGTTTTCCACTCTACTATGTCACCATGGGGTGGCCTTTGTGGAGATGTGGCCTTGCCATCTCACTGGGCTTCGGCCTCCGATGGTCCCCTGGCCTCACCGACTGAACGCGAGTGAACGGACTTGGTGAAAACGCGTGTGGTCGACGGAGGAATGGGACGGGGCTGGTAGCCGGGAAGGCAGGTGTCCTTCGTGTCGGGACTCACCAAGCTATTGAGTTCGGTCATGCAACGTTCTAATCTAGATCATGCAAATTCTCCACATATATGTAGCCCATTGCCAGTATATAATAGGTAAATAAAGGATTTGCACATATTAGATCATCTTAGCACCATTATTGAAAAAATCTTTACTAGCCATCATCATCCACTGTTACTGCCAATGGGATATACAAATTAAATATATTGTCTGTTAGGCCATATTATTGCATACATATATTGATCCATATGCTAACTACCTTAAGGTTTGATGGATCCCAAAGTCCGCTCACTCATGACGTCAGGCCAGTGCAACTCGTAACGCGGCGAATGGGCACATGGGCTTACCTACCCTTTTGCTTCCTCAACCTGATCTTCGCCATTTTTGCTGCACCTTGGTGACAAAATGGAAGAGGGGACCTACCAGTGAGGCTAAATGGAAGCCACCTCGTGGCAAGATTGAATGCTTCAAGATTCGTGGCACCTACCGGTGCATGTGTTTCGCCGCTAAGCCGAGCCTGCACCGCTCATCTTTGATGTAGTGGTGCCCTATCGCCCACTACTAGTTGGCTAATGATTGAAAGACACCTCACCAGCGTTGAGTTTTGGTAAAGACACACTGAGATGGCCGCACATCCCTATCAAGAATATAGTGGCAGCATCACTGCAAATCAAAGAATTATTGAATTCCATAGGAACCATTTTGGGCACAAGGATCAGAACTTGGGCTCACTTTGCTATGCGACGTCCTTCCAAATTCTGGACCATAAAAGAAAATAGCCGCCCAGCAGGAACAGGGCATCGATTGCTTTAAAAGGGACCATGGGATCAACTTAGCGATTCTCACAAGCCACAAAGGATACATGTGTCACAAGCTCGTGCAGGCTATTTTGGCGCCTAATTCTGGAACCCAAGCATCATTTGCCACCGCAGAGATCCATGCAATTATACACTATACACCTGCAGCAACAGTAACAACAATAAAACACGCAAAGATTCAGACCGCGAGCAAAGAGAAGACTACACCGTGAAAAACTTGATAGTATCTGTTGATCGGCTGGAAAGAGAGGTCAACTGGTCTATACCTCTTTGAAAGTGTCACCGATGTGCCCATCTGGACGGCCCGGCTTCAACAACAGGGCTCATGATTGGTGCTTGGCTGGGGCGGGCTCAAACAAGAACATTGTCCCTGCTAAGTCAGCTGCGAACTGTTTTTGAAGAAACCCTCTGGCTAGCGCAGAGTTGGCCAGACATTTGCATTCAGCAGTTAGCAGTTAGGTGTTCTTTGCAACCTTTGGAGCCTAAGACAACGTGATCTGCAAAGTTTGTGTAGCCTTCTTCCCGCGAAGGTTGATTTTGCATTTCACATGCTGTCATTTGTGCTCGAACGTTCCGGATGGCATTTCGTTTGCGCTGCTAACGCCGAAAAAACCCAGGTGCTTGCGACTCGGCCCGGCAGGAAAAAAACAGGTTGAGTTGGTGAGCCAAGCTTGTGACATGAGCTGGTGAACCAGGCGTGTAAACTAGTTCCGACATTGGTCTTGTTTGGACTCGTCGCGTCGGTGAAGTACTGCCGGCTCGTCGCTTCGTGCGTCGCATCGGTGCCTTAACATTCCCCTCAGATTTGGTACTTGCCCGTGCTTGCTTGACCATAGCATCTCCTGTCATTGTCGTGGATGAGGTTGCAAGTGCCTGCCACTCCTGCCTTCATAAGCTGGTTCACTTGGACCTGGTTGCTTGTTGTGGGCATGTGGTCGTGGCAAGTTCATTGGCTAAGCAACTTGTGCTGTGCACTGCAGATGCTTTGTGCATGAGGACACCCCAACCATGTCGTGGAATGTGCTTTTGGCAGGCTTTCTCCTGTGTACCAATTGCATGGCTTTACCCAGAGGTGTCGCAATGGAAGAAAACAAGACCCGTAGCACAAGCGCAAGCACTCCTCGCAAGACCCCTATAGCACTCCTCGCAAGACCGCCATGCGGGTTCCCATGTGGACTTGGTCCAGATGCGCTGCTTACAAAGAGCTGAACAAGCATTGCTATTTTCAACTGAAGCCTAGCATGCTTCTCAGAAAGGAGTCTGGTGGCAAGAAGAGGGGCAAGACAGCCCAAATCAAGGCTCTTGTGGGGCCACTGATATTGTTGTTTGAAAGGCAATAAAGTCACAGAGGGAGGACTTGGTGCATAGACAGCTGTGGCAGGATGCGGAGAAAGCTGGAGAGGGGGCAGGACATCCACGAGGGGACATGCGGCTCACGTCGGGCCCTGTCGAAGCTGCGGAGTCAGGTGGAAGGGTGGGAGGGGCAGGTCAGCGTGGCGCAGCAAAGGCCCAAGGCATGCTGCCAGTGGCGCGAACTTGAAGTTACATTTGTGGCTACATTATGCTACATTTTGTGCGCAAGTTGATGGGCCTCCCATTTTCCAGGTGACATGTAATGTAAGATATTGTAAGATGCACCTGCTGCAGCACCGAGAACACTACAGCTCTGATCCCCTGACCCCTGACCTGGTGCTATTCTCAAGAAATCATGAGGGGGGTGGTCCGGCACAAAATTCTGCAGCTGGAACACCACCTTTGGGTAGCCGCTCCTTTGTCGGGTAGCCCCGCATTTCGGCTTTAGCCCTTCCTTTCACGAAACTCCTCCTGCCGCGTCTCGCCGCG